ACAACTGGTTTGTGGCTGGGCAAGAGAGCATGGCCCTGACCAGAGCCCTGCGCCCCATGTTGCCTTCCTGTGCTGCCTGACAGGTGGGCCAGGACCATGCCAGCAAGAGCTGAACCGGAAAGTCCACTCACACCTGTGCTGTCAACGACACTAGCTCTCTTCCTTTTCTTGATTAGGTGTCAGTCAACCCCAGCAGAGCAGCGGGACTGTCTTGCTGTGAGTGAGCTGCTTGGGAACCCCTCCCCAGCCTCCCTTCCTGCCTTTCTGAAGGCCAAGGGCAGCCTCCTCCCCAAGACACAATGAAACACAGGAGCTGAGTTAGATGTTCATTCTTCCCCAGCTCTGGAAATTCTGCAGGTCACACATCTGGATTCCTACTGAAATAAAGCTGGGGGCCGAACAAAAGTGGCAAAAAGGTATTCTGGGTACATTTGGCAGCTCAGATACCACTGGAAACTTAAGTCAAAGTCATAGTATTTTAGAGCCAGCAGGATCCGTGAGATTCCTGGGCAACTGAAGTGGTATAAAGCTGAGCATTGCACTGAACCAGTGGTGTCTGGGCAATTCTTTCAGACACGTCTCCTCACGTGTTGCTCATCACAGCTCTGAGAGGCAGGTGGAGCTGATGCTATTGACCCCGTTTACAGAATGGTAAACTGAGGCTCCGGTGGTAACGTCTTGTCCATGGGGTTGAGAGAGAAGCCAGTGGACAGGAGTGGCTGGTTGGGCGTGGGACTTCCAGTTCCCAGATCCACTGCTCATTCCATGGCACAGTTGCCAGAAGGGCCAGTTTGGATGTAGACATTAAATAATGTGTAAGCACCTGGGTCAGTGCACGTTGTGGTCAAGCATGTGCAGTCGACAGCTGGTGGCCCCAGGATGCAATCCTGATGTGCAGCTTTCTGGCTGGGCCTGTGGGAGCCACATACATCCCCATGTGCCTCAGTTCCCCTGTATGAATACCTGAGAACGGCTCTTGGCTCGTGGATAGTGCCCGTAAGCACCAGTGTGCTCTTGCGCAGGCAGCATGGGGGCTCCCACACAGAGGCGTCACAGCTGACATCTGTCTCAGCTGAACGAGCAGAAGGGTCAACATCCAGCAGGGAGCAGCCCTGAGGCTCCTCCGTTGTGCCCATGACTTGTTTTAATATCACAGTGCTACCCCTTCAGCCATGTAGAAGAGTTTGGGGTGCATTGCGTGCTCACTTACAAGCTCCAGCCCTGATTTGCCTCCAAACTGGATGGCAATAGAAAATCTTTATTTTTCCATTCGTCTTGCTGCCTCCACATCTCATTTTTACATTTCATCGTATTAACTTCTCTGTTGATGCGCTCTTTGTTTCTGGGTAAATAGAGGATTTGCAAAAGTACTCAGCATGTGGACAGAAGCCTGTGCCCTCCCGCCAGGGCTGCCCAAGAGTCTTCCCCTGGTCCTGAGCTGCAGTCAACTGCTTTCCTGCAGCCAGTAACCGTGGTCTAGGCCGGGCTTCTCCTGACACCCTCGAGGCCCGTGGCCTCCCAGGGAGCCCCATGCTTAGGCCTTGCCACATCCTGCCTGGCCTCTCATCTGCTCTGGCCCTGCTGACGGCCAGTTACCAGAAAAAAGGTAAAATTATGACTCTCGTTCAGATGTAAAATGACAACATGTCAAAAAGTTTTATTTAATTCATTAATTGAATGGGAAAACTAGTAAGATGTTGTGACCAGTTCCAAAGAGAAACAAAAGAAGAACCATAAATCTACATGGAGTAAAGGAGTGTTGAACTGGATTTACAAGTAGACGCAGCACTGTTCCCATGAAGTCTTTTTTTGCTTATTCCAAATTTCCTTACAGCCTCCCTGCCTTTTCTCAAAATAATCTCAAAGAAAGGTTATCCTTGATCACAGAATAGGGATTGTTTGCACAGGAGCAGCGAGAGGGTTAAGGGGCCACGAGCCCTTCTGAGTGTGCTTCGCTGGAAGACTTCATGTGTAGACTCTTAAAACCCCTGTCGTTTGCTTTCCGGAGGCCAGGAAGCCAAGCACAGAAACACTCTCCTCCAGGTTTCACCTGCAGTACTTATAAATTCGGGTGAACTCCTTTCTTCTCAAGGTCTCTGGAGCATTCCAAGGCCCCTGACTGGCCAAAAGCTTTTCTTCCTGTCTGGAAGTTTGGGGCCCTGAGTCCCTCTCAGTTGCCCTGAGAGGACTTTGAACCCCATGTGGTCACCCTCACCCCTATGAGTGTCTGGTCACACCTGAGCAGATGAGTGTCATTCTTAGGTGGGGCCTTGATTGTGTAAATCCTGGTGAGAAGAAGGGCAGATTCTTATGGGAACTTTTGCAAATAACTATATTGCCATGAAAAGCGAAGACTTAAAAGTTTCTGAGTTTGGGGGTGGGGGGAGGTAAAGGAGAACAAATGGTAAAAATCAGCTATCATTGAAAAATGTTTCAGTTTGTAAAACGTGCTAGATTGTTCAAGGTTACTGATAACTTAAGAAGAAAGAGAGAGCCAGAAAATCAGACACTTAAACAACATCAACAGTGCTGCAAACAACCACAGTAAAATCTCCTTCACCAGTTCATTCATTCCTCTGTAATTAATTCTCCTGCTGGGTCTGGAGTTAGTGGTTTCATGAAACTGTTTCTCAATTAAGATGAATTCTGGAAATGCTGATCAGCCCACGGGAAGGGTCCACATAAGGCCATCAGAAGCCTGTCCCCAAGAGTCTGTTCTTTGGGGGGTCAGTAGTTTGAGGTGAGCTGTGGCATGAAGGTCTGTGCTGGGGAGGACATGTGGCCGGGTAAAGGCAGGACTCCTGTCAGTGGGGTTGGGAATAAGGAGAGGGGAGGAGACGTGCAACCCGGAGGAGGGAGCTCGAAGCAGCGAGCAGCAGCAGGGAGTGTGTGTGTGTGGGGGGGGGGAAGGGGGCGTGCATGAGACTGGTGTAAAGGGGCCAGAGATGGGGGAGCTTGACGAGGACACGTGCTGGAAGGGGACAGACCCGAGAACCTCACATGCCCCGGCAGGGAGGTGGACTTCCCATGTGGGTGGTGAGGAGCCGGCAAAGGTTCTGCACCATCAGGAGGATGTGACAGGGAGGGGGCGAGACCAGAAGTGGGGGCGGGTGAGGAGGCTACTGCAGCAGTCCAAGCATGACCGAGGCTGAGCCCAGACAGCAGCCTTGGGACAGAGAGAATGCCACAGACCTTGGGGACGGCATACACAAATGACACCAGCCACATTCACCTGAACATCACTGCTGGCACAGATACCTAGGAGAGTAATTGGCAGGGTGTGAACAAAACGTGCTGTGTTTGTCTTACCGTTGCTAGTCCAGCCGCACATGGGAGATGGTGTTAGCCGCAGAAAGGCCAAGTCTGTGGGGGAAAATCTGTTTTCTGTATTTCCCTATGTCCAAATAAAGGAAGAAGCAACTAATCTTAGCTGGAGGAAATGGTGCTCTGGGCACTGAGAAATACCACCTTCTCAGGCCCACTGCCCACCACGAGCATGGACTCCTGCTGGTAAGGAGGGGGTCCTCTACAGCAGCAAGCCAGGGAGAGGGTCCAAAGGAAACCTCTACTGTGATGGACACGGGGGCTCTGGTGTGGACTGTCCCCTGCACTCCCCACCCTCACTGTTCTTGAGGTCCACCTTCCCTGAGGAGGATTCTGGACCGAGCCTCACAGTCAGGGTTCTGCAGGCGAAACCTGCTGATGCGGAGCAGGCGCTTCTCCTACCGTGGCCGTGGTGGCTGCACATGCAGGCGGGGCGCCACCAACTCATGCACAGTTTATGTTTCATAGTGGACCGACAGTTCACAACCATGGTATTGTTTTAATCCCCCTCTTTAATTTAGTCATTCAGCCTCAGTCCCACTGTATTAGTCTGTTTCTGTTGCTTATAACAAAATTACCAGGAGACTGGGTGATTTGTAAGAAAACAAAATTTATTGCTTACAGTTTTGAAGGATGGGAAGTAGTCCAGGGAACACATTTGGTGAAGGCCTTGCTGGTGGTGACAGTGACCCAGGGGTCACATGGCAGAAAATGGTGGAGTAGAGAGAAGGACAGACTCTTCATGCTCCTCATTTAAAGTCCTCAGAACCACACCCCTGACCACCATTATTAATCCATTCACTGCAGCATGGTCCTACAATCTAATCACCTCTTCAAGGCTGTACCTTTTAGTGACCATGATAGGATTTCCCAGCCCCTTAACACTTATAGTGGAGATGAAGTTTGGGGGGGACACTCAACCCAAGGCATTCTGCCCCTGACCCCCCAAAACTCACATCCTTCTCGCATACACATACATTCATTCCATCCCCAAAGTCTTAACTCGTTTCAACTCGAAAGTCCAAAGTTCAAAGTCCCATCCGTGAAATCAAAACAAGTTATCCACTTCCAAGATACAATGGTGGGACAAGCATAGGGCACATATTCGCATTCAAAAGGAAGAAATAGGTCAAAAGAAAGGGTAACAGGTCCCAGACAAGTCCAAAACCCAGCAGGGCAGGTGTAAAATCTCAAAGCTGGTGAATCAGGTACTTTGACTGCATGTTCCACGTCCTCTGCATGCTGCTGTGGGGGTTGGGTCCAAGTCTAAAGGCAATCTTTTTAAGTTAATAAATTTGTTATTTTACATAATGGCCTGGTGAGATCACTGGAGACTCGCTGCCACGTGGTACTGTCCAGCCAGGGTTGCCAGCCCTGCCTCGCAGGTTAAAACCATGTGCCTCGTGGCCGTGATGTCACCTGCGAGTATGCCGATGGGTGATGTTTTTATGTTTCACATCCCTTTTCACTGAACAAAAGAGTGAAGTTCTTTCCACCCGTGTAAATAGGCCAAATGAAAAGATGTGCGTGTAACATTCCAGTGCCTGCGGTTATAGTTTTTCTTTTTAAAATAAACCTCAGGTTGCAGCTAGGGTGGAAGCACGTGGAATCTGACATCGCCATGGAAACTGCTGCCCCTTGGCGCCCTCACCGCCCGCTGCCTCTCTGTTTCGTAGGTGGTCTTCAGCAAGTACTGCAACTCCAGCGACATCATGGACCTGTTCTGCATTGCCACTGGCCTGCCTCGGTGAGTGCCCCACAGTGGCTCTGCTGTGGCAATGCCCTGTTGTCCCCACACCCTCTCTGATCTCCTTGAGAGGGAAGCCCCTGGGGAGGGCAAGGCACATAAGTGCGGAGGGTAGCAGAGCCCACAGTCTCCTCTTCCACCTAGGAGTGCTCTCAAATCAATGAATAAAACCCAAGAAGCCCAGCCACAGTATCTGCCTGCAGGTGTCTGCACACACCTTTCCAGTAGGTGATAGCTGTGTCTACACAAGGAAACCAGTGGGCTGGATTAAGCAGAGCCCTCTTAAGAGTTTAGTTTTTTTCCTTTCCTGTGTTCATTCTCTTCTGGAGAAAGGAGGATGGTTGTGTTTTGGCTGGGTTAGGTCCCCAGCCCCAAATCATCCAGTAGGTGCCTTTTCCATCTCAGGGGACTTGTCACAGATCAGTGAAAGACTCACTTCGGAAATGAGTTGAAAAGACCAGTATCTACCTCATAGAATCATCAGAATTCCCTAAGAGTTATTTTCCTAAATGGACAGTTTGCTCAAGCAAGTGAATTTTCTCATTTTTAGCATTCGAACTTTCCAGTGATATAGGGTGACCAGGAGTAGTTTGGCATGGCATTCACTTTAAAGTTTGGATCTGGGTCAAAGACAGTGATTGGTAGAGAAGGACACTAGAAGTTTCACAGACAAGTGAGAAAAGGGAGACTTGGGAGATGAAATAACATGCCTGAGATTGCAGCAAACAGCAAACAGCAGAGTTTGTAACATCGAAAATAGCCCACCATTTGGGGCATCTCTGGTACCATATACTAAGCATGTGCTAAGTAATATATATATATGTATATATATGTGTGTATGTAGACACACACACACACACACACATTACTCCTTATAACAAACCTGGGATTCAGGTATCACCTCCATTGCGTAGATTTTAAAAATTCACAGCTGAAGATCGGAGAGCTTTTCATAAGAGGCCCCAAAAGGTGAGAGGTTAGAGGAAGACTCATCTTAACCATTTAAGACTATTTTGTGGGAAGGATTTGTGCCAGTTAAGATGGACTCCCAGAGAAACTGGAAGTAGAAAGGCTTGCTACGAGTTCATCACCTGACAGACATGCTTCCATTTTACCAGTTTCTTTTTTAATCTCCAATGCAATAAATTAGACGTGCTCTAATTCCCATTTTAAATTATTTAAAAATCTACATGAACTTAGAATTGCACACGGCCTCTAGATTTTATTTACAAATGGAATTCCAACAGCTTGGGGACGACTCTCACCCTATCTGTCCTTGCCATGCCTTTGGACGGGCTGGTCCCTGTGACTCAGGCTCTTGTCTTGGGGGGGTCTGAGCTTGTGTGAGGCCTAAGTGCCAGTGTGCATCGCAGAGCACATGCTGGGTGAGAACGCTGACCTGGGTGTGTCTTCCAGGAACACGACCATCTCCCTTCTAACCACAGACGATGCCATGGTCTCCATCGACCCCACCATGCCTGCCAATTCAGAACGGTAAGAGGCCTGCGTGCCTGCAGTATGTCGGACACTCCTCTATAGCCATGCGAGGGTTTCTATGATTTTCTTAAACTTACCACTGCAGGAAAGTCGGCATTTAAAGCAGAGGTGGAAGGGTGAAGGTGGGAGGAGTATGAAGGAGGCTTGATTCGGCTTGTTCCTTTGCAGAAGAGCTGGCTGCTTTCCAGGGTGATAACAGCTGCAGGCAGGGCTCTGCACTCAGGAGCCCTGTGAGGAGGCAGCATACAGACGGGGGAACCGAGGCTCAGGAGGCTGAGCAGACCCAGCCCTGGGACCCCTGTGTTAACCTCGAGAATAGTCCCTGGCCAAAGCCCCTGGGGACATTTATTGTTTACCCAGGTGGGGCCAGTCCTGGTGTTTATGAAGCCGTACATGTGGAAAGATTCCGTGCACAGAAGTGCGGGAACCAGGGAAACGTATCTGTGAATAGACGTAGCACAGGAAAAGCCAGCTGTGTGGCCCAGGAAGAACCCTGAGCAGGGCCCTCGAGTCAGTGACCTGCCCCTCTGCCTGCAGGCCTGGAAGGTCCGCTGTGGTCTCCACTTCATATTTACATGTAAGGGAGGCAGAATTTAAATTTTGTTTAGGAGGTGTGCATCAGCTGAGGCATTGGGGTGGGGGGAGCCCCAGGACCCCTCTCTGCTGTTCTCTGCCCCTCTGAGGGACTCAGTGGATGCCATGGGGACATTTGTTAATCTGCCTCACTGACCCACGGTCAGCTCTGAACCCACAGGGGAAACACACACAGCAGGCAGACCCTGGTATGTCCTGGGGCTGCTTAATGACAATGTTGAAATGTTTGGGCTCCACTGATAGAATAGCCTGGGACCTCCACCTAGGCCCCCAGGAAGTTTCTCCAACCAAGGTGTGTGTACACCTGAGCTGCGTCCAGGGCTGCCCTGCCACCTCGAGGCCTCAGCCAGGCCCCTGTCCATCCTGCTGTGCCCATTAGTCTCCCCCTAACTCCCCATCTTCCATCAAGAAGCCCGTCTTCTGCCCGCATACCCTCCCGCCCTGATCCTCGGCTTCTGGACCCCCCAAAGGAACAATGCCACTTGGCTCCCCAAAGTCCCCAGTGAGTCTCGTGCATCTCAGTACCAGCCCCAGCCTGACCCAGATGCCACGTCAGAAGGAAAGTTCCAAAGTAACCCGTTACCTCAGCACCCTCAAGACTAAAATTACCTCATCAGAGGGGGTCTCAAACCAGTGCCTGTCAGTGCAGGCTGGTCCCAATTGAGCGAAACTGCATTGTTCTTGCTGAATTCGATGAAAGCAGTTTGTGTGCAGAAGTCATCAAACTGGGCAGGAGATAGGGGACACTCACCTTGACCAACCTGCCCCGCTGGCCCCACGTGCCTCATTAACAAGAGGAAGCGTCAGGCAGACCAGACAAAAGCCCTTCAGAGCTCAAGTGTCTGCAACACTACTCGTGAGATGCCAGAATTTGTCATAGAGACAGACAAATGACGACACTAGACGTGGACATGGCAATGGTATGGACAGACACAGAGTGGACATGGACAGGATGTATGGATCTAGATGCAGATGTGACTGGACATGGGTACAGACAATGTCAGTGTTGTCACGATGGGAATGCAGACATACATAAAGGTACCGTAGGTAGAAGAGAACAGACTCATCTCTCGTTACAAATTGATCAGGACTGGGGTAGCATGTGCTGAGGTGTGGGTTTTGCTGTCCCCTCAGGCTGGGCCCTGTCCTCCTGCACCAGCTGTCTCATTTGTCCTTTCATCCCATGCCTTCTGTCACCCTGAGTCCAGGCTACATTGCTATGGTGGCTCTCTGAGCTCCCGGCCTCCCCGACGCACCTGCCAGGTTTGACTCAGCCAGGCACCGCCTGCTCCATGGTGGCCTCATGATCTGGGACCCCACCGACCTCTGCAGCTTGTTCAGCCCCACGGGATCTTGCTTTCCCGGCTCTGTGAGGGTGTCTCTGCCCATCCTCAGGTGCCAGCCCAGCCCCTTCCTTGAACACCGTCCAAAGTCATTCATCCCTGTCACTACCACCATATCACTCTGCTCACCCTCTTCAGCGTACATAGGGCTCTGCGGTGATCTAGTGCACTTATTTGATGCTCTTCACTGCCTGTCTGCCCCTCTGGGCTGTCATCTCCATTGGGGAGGAAATTCGGCCTTGCTCACTGCTTTATTCCTGGCTCCTAAAGGAGGTGGCACATAATAGGTGCTCAATAAAGATGCGAATAAGAGACTGGATAAATGGTTCAGCTCATTCCTGTCCCTTTCTCTACTGCCCAGAGCACAAATCGTCTCACCTGCTCATGTTTTGTCACATCATATCTGGTGTTTGATTCTGTGTCAGTGGTTCTCAACCCAGGGCAGTTTTGTTCCCTTGGGCACACTGGACAGTATCTGCAGGCATTTCTGGTTGTCATAGCAGGGAAGGGTTATCTACCAGCATCTAGAGGGTGGAGGCCGAGGTCCTGCTAAGCACTCTGCAGGGCAAAGGACAGCCCCACAGCAAAGACTCATCTGGCCCACCATGTCACCACGTCAAGGGTGCTGAGGTTAAGAACCCCGTGTTTATGTGGTTTCCTACCATCTCTTTCTCCCACCCTTGGTTTCTGATTCAGGAGGGGACTGGGCCTGGGAATGTAAATTTTTGCAGTTCCCAGGTGGCACTGGTGCAGCTGGCCCAGGACCAGAGTCAGTGTGGCTCCTGTGAGCTATGGGGCATTCTTCTCCGCCTCGCCCCTTTGCTCTCTCCCTGCATCAGATGCTGCCGACCTTCTCTCTTCCTGGATCCTCCTTCAGCTCCTCCCCATCTTTGCTTGTCCACTCTTGGCCTGAAGCTGTGGCTGTTCCCCGGGGTTTGCTTCTGGCCCTCACTCCTCCGTCTCCTCCCATGGCTTAGCAGTGCCCCCGCAGGGCCTCGCCTGAGTGCTCTGCCTTCCCCTCCTGCTCTCATTCCCTGTCTCCCTGCAGTGGTTGCCTCCTCCCCCATGTGTCCAGCAGGGAGCTCGTGCCTCTCTCTGGGCTTCCCTGCTGGGCATACAGTGCTGCAGTGGACAGGGGTGTCCAGACACTGGTGGTGGCTGCTCAAGGCTCCACCTTGCATGGGGCCATGTGGGGCTGGAAACTCACTGTGCCAGTCTCTGTGCGGGTGCCTGAGCTCCAGAGGAGACGCCTCATGATCCAGACGCATGGGGTTTGTGCTGGGAGATACACACGCCTACTCTGCTGTCCTCACAGCTGAGCACGAACTAGTTCAACTCAACCAGTGGCTTTCAGCCCCGGCTGCAGATTAAAACCACCCGGGATCTTTAAAAAGGTACTGACTGATGCCAGGACCCTCCTAGAACCAACTAAATCCAGATTTTTTTGAGATTTTTTTAAAGCTCCCCAAATCATTCCAGCATGCAGCCTGAGTGAGAACCATTAGTGTTAACTGAGGAAAGTCTAGAAACCACTCTCAGCCCAGGGTGGGTGCCCGGCCCTCTAGTGACCAGAACACCATGCCTACCAGACCCAAGCTTTTCCCTTCTTGGAACGTGCCAGAAGACTTCTGTTTCTAGCAAGCACCAGCCTGCTCCTGCTGGTTTAGATGGCCACATCCACAGTGCGGTGGGTCGGGTTGCATCTCTCTTCAGCCTCATCCACTTCTGAAGACACCTCGACTTGGACACTTGTTCACCCCCTGGCCTCCCGAGCTCAGACTTAGGAACCACCTCTCAGGAAGGGACCCTCCCACACGCCTGTATTCATCCCCGTTTCACCCTCCTGGCATGGGCTTTTCACGGAATCTTCTCCAAGTTGCAAGGGCTCTTGACTGCCCAGCTGGATACTGATGAGAAGTGGGGTTTCCAGTTGCCCCTCACTTTCTGGCTCCTTCCCTACCCATTTCAAACAAAAACTCATGACGCTCTGATTCTTCCTTCAAAATACTTCTGGCCTGAGCGCCCTCCTTTCAATGGCTGCATCCCACCCCCAAGTCAGACCCATCTCAGGAGGGGCTTCCTGTTCGTGCCTCCTGTTTCCCCTCAGTTACCCCTCACTCGAGTGCTGCAGCCTTAGGAAAACTGGCCTCGCACACAGCTCTCATCACACCACTCCCAGCGTGGAGTTCACTGGGGGCCTGTTAGCCACAGGGCATTTTCCAGACCCCTGCATCTGAAACATCCAGCCAAATCCACCTTAACATTCTTGTGTCCGAGTCCACCGACCTGCATGCATGCCCGTGTGCATGTCCCCAGCTGAGGGGCACTCCCCACCCGCAGCATCCAGGCACTGCCCCGCTCTGTGCACTGTCTGCCTTCCTGCCCCTCCTGGGGCTGAGATCCCCTGGCGGCTGCTTAACCCCTCCTGGGCTCCCTGGATGTTTGGTGCAATCAGGAGAACATTCAGAGCAGCGTTATTAAACCTGGAATGTATTTATATAAGTCGAAGATGTGCTCATAGAGCAATGGGCTGCTTTGCTTCTGCTGTCCTCGGGAGCTGGCAAAAAGATGATTGATGGCTAAGAGGCCCTGATTCCTAATGACCAACAAACATGAACAGATATATCCTTGCTTTGGTCAAATGATGCTACAGTCCTCCTCAGAGGGACCCAGAGCCATGCGGTCAAAGTTCTCCTTTCTGATCAGGGCAGCGTTCTGAAGACACGGTGTCCACCTCACACAGTATTGCTTCCTGCAATGCTGCCTCTTCCATTTCTGTCACTACTGCTTCGAGACCTTTGTTGACAGAGGGAAGTACACGCTTAAGAAGTGGCAAAGATGGGGCGTAGGCAGGCCATATGGAGAGAGAGAGGGCCAGGATGACACAGCACATGTGTGACACAGTTCCGAGTGTGGCCAAGTTGTGACGTATGCAGCTCTCTGCTGGATGAAATGACGTGTGTGGCTGTCCCCGTGGCTTAGGATAAACGCCTCCAGATCACAGAATGGTTCCAGGCCTCCTCCTTCCAAATGTGTTTTAGAAGAAGCCTCAGAGCCAAGGTAGTTGGATTATAGAAAAAGACAAATACAGTCAACGTCAAGGCAAGTCTGTCCCTTTCAGAGGGAGTGCTTTACACTAATTTTGTCATACAGAGAACAATGAAGGTGTAGGTCAGTTTAGACTGAGCCCAGATTTCATTCAATCACGGAAACAATGTAACTGGTTCTGAGAAACGTCGCAGTTGTTCAGAGTCAAGAGGATTAAGGAACTAGGAGCCTAGACTAATCTCAAGTGGCCAAGAAATGCAACTAGGGAGCATTGGCCCTGGTCCTGGAAGGTCCCTGCAGCTGCTTGGAGCACCCCACGGTCTCCACGCCCAGTCCCACGTCCACTTCTGCCTCCGTTACTAACTGGCGGCTCCCATCCCTCAGCTCACCAGACCCCAAGAGGCTGTCCTCGTGTGCGTCAGCAGGTTGACGGTGGGCTCCACTCAGGTTGACAAGCAGTCCCAGGATCACTGTGGCGACGGGAGGGACTCCTGATGAGCCTGTCCAGTGTCATGTCCGCAAGGTGTCCTCCTCCTCGGCGGCTCTTATGTGGGAGAAGTTGCTGCCACCACCCCCCTGGCTCTGTCCACCTGCTCCAGTGTGCCATCAGTGTCATTCTCCATCCTGCCCTCAGCCCTCTCCCGGACCCCTTCTCTGCTCCTGTCACCACCTCTCCCACCCCCAGCACTGATTTTAGGAGCCAAGGGACAAGGAGGAGGAGGAGGAGAGGAAAGAAAAGCTCCTGTGTCCCCTCCCAGGAGTGGGAGGCAGGAGAGAGAGAGAGCCCCTTCCTGTGACCCATCCGGGACCCTGGTTCTCCCTCCTCACCCACTGCCCATGGGCAGGTACTCATGTGGGAGCCAGAGAGACGCCAAGAAACCGAGAGGAGACAGAGGAGGCGACCACACCTGGCTTTCTGTCCCCCTGTCCCATCCTCCTTTGCAGGCAGTGCTGGCATGGTGGCTTGGTGTCTGGGCTCTGGCCTCACTCATCACCGGGTGGCTCCAGCACAGCACCCGATCCCCCTGCATGTCAGGCTCCTGTACCTGTAGGGTGGGGGCTGAAGTCGCTGTAGGAACCCCATGGATGATGGCCTTGCCCAGCCCAGCAGGAGTGTCCGGCAACTGAGGGACAGTGCCCCTTTCCCCTGAGGTGGAGTAGAAGCTACCCTGCCTGTGGAACTTGGAGGACCTCTGCTCTGTATTAGGGCTTCACTTCCAGCCTGCCTGGGCTCTAAATATGGTTTTGTCTGGTCTCAACAAGACCCAGACACCATTTATGACATAGTCTCTGGTTCCAAATGACCCACTTCCAAAAGGCCTTCTGAGATGGGCCTTTTCCCAAGCAGGAACAAGGACTTGAGTGGAGACATGAGGGCTGGACCCTCCTCACGGCATCCTGTGCGAGGAGGTGGCGCTTGGGGGACAAGGGAGAACAGAGGTCTCCATGCCGCGCTCTGTCCACCATCCGTGGGCCATGCAGCTTTTGTTTTTATACTTTGCTAGTGTTTAAAATTGTGGAAATCTTCCATGCTGCCTGTCCCCATGAAACCAGAGGTATTCTCCCAATTAAGCACTGTTAGCAGTTTGGTGTGTGTATGGCTGCGTATTTTCTGTGCTTTCTTTTTTCAGAAGTGAGCTCATTCTCTGTGTATTACTCTGTGATTGGCTGTTTTTACGCAGTGAGATGTCATGGGCATCCCTCCGGGTCAATACTTGTACGCTTATCTTCATTTTTTAACAACTGAATGACACCTGGGTCATTTTCAGTCCAGGCTGCTACAACAGAATCCCACAGACTGGGGGCTTAAATACACACACTGGTTGCTCGCAGTGCTGGAGGCTGGGAGTCTGAGGTCAGGCTTCTGGCAGGGTTGAGTTCTGGCAAGGGCTGCTTCCAGGTTTGCAGACAGCTGATTTCTCCCTGTGTCCTCATGTCCAGAGAAAGACAGAGCACTCTGTTCCCTTCATCCTCTTATAAGGACACTAATCCCATTCAAGAGGGCCCCACCCTCATGACCTAATCACCTCCCAAAGGCCCCACTTCAAATACCTTCATATTGGGGGTTAGGATTTCAACATGTGGATCTGGGGGCATTCACAAACCTTCGGTCCACAGCACCACGAGATGGCTAATACACCATCCGTCCCATGGAGAGGTGCCAGAGTAACCCCAGTGTGGAGCCTTCACACTGTGGACACACGCATCCTTTCAACCTGTCCTTGCCTGCGGGACACTAGTCCCGTGAGACAGGTACATTTTGTCTGGTTCACTATCATATCCCCAGCACCTGGCTGCTGTGGGTACGAGTGAAAAGCTGATTGAAAGAATGCGTGCATGACAAGGGAATTACGTGAGTGAATGACATCTGACCATGTCCCCATGGACTGATGTCTCCCTCTGATACATTCACTCCTAAACCCACTTGCTGAGACAAAGGATTACGCAAGTTACTTTTCGATCTGCATTGCTGGGTTGCTTTCCCAGGGTCCTGGCAGGCCCCACCCCACCAGCAATGTGTGGAGGGCCTGTTTCCCTCTGTCTTGTAGGTTCTAAATTTCACTAACCTCCTGGGTGAAGAATGGCGCCTCTCTTGAGGTTGGCCTCTTTTGTGGTGTTGTGTTTTTGCTCCTATTGGTCTGTTTGTACTCCTTTGCCAGAGGTCCTTCTGTGTCCTTCTGTCTGCTGTATGTATGGCCAGCACCTATCCCCAGCCATGCTGGGTCCCGTGGTTACTGGGTGGCATCCCCAGGACCCCAGGGCGCTTCTGACCGAGTCACTCGCCCCATCCTCTCTTGCTCATCTGGGGTATTCAGTAGCCCCGAGCTCAGACAAAGCAAACGAGAGGGGCCGCCTGCCTCCCCTAGGTGCCAAGGTGGACACAGTGATTCCATCATGGGCTGCTGCTCCTAGCTCGATCTGCACCTGTGACTCGTAGTAGTACTAAGGAGACTTGTTTCATTGACTACATATGAACATTATAGAGGAAGTCTGTCACTGAAATTAGATATTTAATCTATTTAGAATTCATCTGAACAAGGAAGCTCAGAACAGCCAAAGAAACTAATTAAAAATACCTAATCCACTGAATTCTAATTCACCCAGAGCGCTTATCTCACAGCAGACACATGGCGAGCGTCTGTGACAGCATCTGATGGTGCAACTGTCTTCTCTTTTGCAGCACTCCCTACAAAGTGAGGCCTGTGCCCTCCAAGCAGCTCTCTGGTAAGGCCCTGCTATCATTTTTTTAATTAAAAGAAGAAAAAAGCTGAAACCTGCCTCTGTGTTTGAATATATATGAAACATTTGAATCTACAACACAATACCACTGCAGGATCTGAAACCTTATACTGCTTTAGAGACTCTTGCCGTGACGACTCTCAGGGACCCCCTTACCCTGTCCCTGAGGACTGAGCAGGTGCAGGTGACATCCCACATTGGTCTTCCTGGGCCCAGCACCCTCCTTCCATTCACTGTGAGCCGCAACCCCGGGGTACTTGAGACCCCTCTGGATGCTCAGGGTGCCTCCGCAGTCAGTTTTGCTGTTTAGTTAAAATTCCATTTTCTTTTCGGTTTTTATCACTTTAATTTATGTGTGATTTATGCATAATAAAATGCTTCCATTTAAGTGCATAATTTGGTGAGTTTTGAAAAATGTATATGCTCTTATAACTGTCACCATAATCAAGACACAGAAAATTACATCCCCCGACATCCCTCCCTGGTTCATCCCCTATCCACTGACTCCTTGTCTCAGTCAACAGCTGGCCTGCTTTCTGACACCATCGGTTAGATTTGTCCCTTTGAGAGTTTTATATAAAAGAAATTACACAGTATGTGTACTCTTTTTTGAGTTGACATGATGTTTTTGAGACTCATCCATGTCGTTGTGTGTGTAAATAGTTCATTCCTTTTTCATTAAATGATATTCATGGTGTGTGTATTCAACAGTGTGCTTTCCACTCACTTGTAGGTGGACACCTGGCTTCTGTCCATTTTGAGGACTTTTACAAGTAAGGCTGCCATGAGCATTAAGTACAGGAATTTGTGGGGACGAGTATTTCTATTTCACTTGGATAAATACCTGAGAGTAGAATTATTAGTCACGTGGTTAAGTTTATGTTTCATTTTTATGAAGAATGGCCAGTCATCCTTTCCAAAGCAGCTGTGCCGTTGTGCACCCCCATCAGCACTGCACGAGGGCTCCAGCTGGTCCTCACCCCTGGGCATTTGGTCCTGCCAGTCTTTTCTATTTTAATCATTCTAGTGGGCAGGTAGTGGTATTGCACTGTGGTTTTAATTTGTATTTCCCTAATGATTAGTGATGGTAAGTATCATTCAAGTATTTACCAGCCATTCATAAGTCTTCTTTTATAAAGTATCTGCTCAAATCTTTGGTGATTTCTCTTTGCTGAGCGTTGTTTTCCACATTATCGTACTGTGAGTGTTCTTGATGTATTTGGCATGTACACCTCTTGTCAGATAGATATTATAAATATTTTCTTAGGCTACACCTTGCCTTTTCATTTTTTTATTAGTGTCTTTCAATAACCAGAAATTTTAAATTTTGGCAGGCCCAGTTTATCAATTTTGTTCTTTAATGGTCTGTGCTTTTTGTGTCCTAAGAAATCTTAGTTTATCCCATAGTCATGAAATTTCTTCCTGTATTTTCTTCTAGAAGTTTTATAGAGTTACCTTTCACATTTAGGTCTGTGATCAATTTTGAGTTAATTTTTGTGTGCGGTATGAGGTAAAAGTTGAGGTGTATTTTCATTGGTTAAATTTAGTTTCAATTTAGTTTTAAGTGTTTTAAGATTGACGGTTATAGAATTCTGAAGCAGCCGCAGGGTGCTGGATGGTGTGTGAGAGAGGAACTCACATTTCTGTGCCTTGGTTTCTCCTCTTTAAAGTGAAAGTGCTTACATGTGCACACTCACTGCTCTACATTTTCTCTATGCTCGAGTAGCTCTTTAAGAAAACTCTTAATTCAATTCTTTTGATAGCAGATGTTAGGATAAAATATGGGTTCTAACTTTTACTAATATAAAAATATATTTTAATATAAAAAGCTTATTAAGCCCTTGACTCAATAGTAAATGTATCTTTTTTACATTTTTTTAACCAAACCCCATACTTTATTTGAATTTCACAAGTTTTTCCCTTGGTGCCCCTTTGCTGTTCCAGGACCCCATCCACAGTCCCACCCTGCATTTGGCTGTTGTATCTTCCCAGTCTTCTCTGGTCTGTGACAGCCTCTCAGACTTTCCTTGTTTGTCATGACCTTCCAACATGTCTTGGAAGTCTGAAGAGTCTGTAGAACGTGAGGGTTTGCCTGACGTTTTTCTCATGCCCAGCCTGGGGGTGTGGGTTTTGGAACTGGCTGCTCCACTGTGGAGTTTCTGCGTGTTCCTTTCCTTACTTCTCTTCAGAAGCACGTCACTAGGCCGAGCCCACCTAAGTGCAGGAGAAGGAACTGAGGTTCATTTTCTCTATTCGGATATCCACTTGCTTCAGCACCATTTGTTGAAAAGATGATCCTTTTCTCCATTGAATTACCATGGCAACTTTGTCCAAAATCAGTTGACCATATATGTGTGAGTCTTTTTCTGGACTCAGTGTCCCGTTCCATTAGTATACATGTCTGTTCTTAAACCAATAGCACACTGTCTTGATTACTGTAGATTGACAGTAGCTCTTGAAATCAGGTAGTGTAAGTCCTCTTATTTTTTTTGTCTTTTTCAAAAATGTTATTGCTTTTATTTTTGAATAAATTTTAGAATCAATCTGTGAATTGCTACCCCCCAAAAGAAGCCTGCTAGAATTTTGATTGAAAATATATTGCATTAGATATACAGAACAAATTGGGAAGAATTAATATCTTAATAATGTTGAGTCTTCTGATTCATGAATATGGTACATCTTTCAATTTGGGGGTATTTCCCTTAATGTCCCTCAACAGTATGCTATAGTTGTCAGTATAAACTTCTTGAATATGTGTTGATAAATTCATTACTAAGTATTTACTATTTTTAATGCTGTTGTAAATGGAGTTTCTTGAATTTCAGTTTCTAGTAGTTTTTAGTTTATAGAAATACAATTGGGTTTTGTGTATTGACCTTGCCAAATATTAATATAAAAGTATTAGATCAAACACCTTTTTATAGATTTCTCTGTATGATTCTCTAGATGATTTTTTTAAGTCTGCAAATAGAAAATTACCTCTTCCATTTAAATCTTGGAGCCTTTTATTTCTTAGTTTTTTTTTTACAAGGTGTAGGAGTGGAGATTTCTGCTTTGTTCTTAATGTCAGGAGAAATGTGTAAGTCTGTTGATTGGGATGTTAGCTGTAACCGTTTTTGTACATATCTTTTATCAGGTTGAGGGTGTTTTGTTTCTTTGTTCTATTTCTAGGTTGTTGAGAGTTTTAAACACAAATTGGTATTGAATTTTGTCAAATGCATTTTCTGCCTCCGTTGAGAGGATCATGGTTTTTCTCTTTTATTTTGCTAATAGTGAATAATACTGATTGATTTAAAAGTGTTAAACTACACTTGCATTCCTAGTGAAAACTCCACTTGGCATGGTGTATTACTTTTTTGCTTTGGATTCAATTTGCATATACTTTTACATCATCATTAATCAGGGATATTGGCCCATAGTTTTCTTACAATATGTTCATCTGGTTTTGGTATTGGGGTAATGCTGATTTCATAAAGTGGATTGGGAGATGTTTCATCTTTCTCTGTTTTCTGGAAGCATTTGCATAGGGTTGGCATTATTTCTTCCTCAAATGTTTGATAGAATTCACCAGTGAATCCATTTGTGCTTAGAATTTCTTTGCTGGAAGGTTTTTCATTAAGAAATCAATTTTTTTAATACATAAAAATACTCAGGTTTTCTATCTCTTTGAGGGTAAATTTTAGGAAGTTGTGTTTATTTCATGTAAGTTTCATCTAAGAATTTATTGGCATGATATAGTTTGAAATACATCCTTGTTATTCTTTTTAGGTCTGTAGGGTTTTAGTGGAATTCCCCCTTTCATTCAGAATATTAGTAATTTGTATCTTCTCTCTTTTTAAGTTAATCTGTCAAACTAGAGATTTATAAATTTTACTGATTTTTTTTTAAAGAGCCTGCTTTGGGTTTCATTGATTTTTACTCTTTTGTTTTCATTCATTTCTCCTCCCTATTATTTCTTTCCTTCTACTCTCTTCAGGTTTAATTTGCTCTTCTTTTTCCTGCTTGCAAAGGAGGAAGCTTAGATCATTGATTTTAGACCTTTTTTTAATACAATAGAACGATTTAGAGCTAAAGATTTCCCTCTGAGCATACTTTATCTCATAAATTTTATGTGTTATATTTTCATTTTCATTCAATTGAACATGTTTTCTAATTTACCTTGTGGTCCCTTCTCTGACCCATGTGTTATTTAGAACTGTATTATTTAATTTCCAAATATTTGGGTATTTTTCTGTTATGTTTCTGTTACTGATTTCTACGTTGATTCCATTATAATTTAAAAACAGACTCTGCATGACTTTAACCTTTTAAAATTTATTGACACACATGGTGTGTCTTGGTGACTGTTCCAGGTACACTTGAGAGAAAGTGTATTCTGCTGTTCCTGGGTGGAATATTCTATAAATGCCAATACGTTGAAATAGTTGATAGTTAATTCAAGTTTTATGTATCTTTACTTATTTTTTGTCTTCTTGTTCTGTCAGTTACTGAGAGATGAGTATTACAATACCCAATTATAATTGTGAATTTGTTTCTTTTTTCAGTTCTATCTGTTTTTGCTTCGTGCATACTTATTTAGGATTGTTATATCTTTTTGATGGATCAACCCCTTTATCCTTAAGAAAGTGTGACCTTGGGCCGGCCCGGTGGCGCACTGGATAAGTGCGCTGCTTGAGAAGCGCAGCGGCACTCCCGCCCGAGGGTTCGGATCCCACATACAGACCGGTTCCCGCTCACTGGCTGAGCGAGGCGCGGGAGCGACACCGAGGGTTGCAATCCCGTTGCCGGTCCCTGGTCCGGTACGGGGCCAACACTGGGGGTTGCGATCCGTTGCCGGACACGGAAAAAGACAAAAGACAAAAAAAAAAAAAGTGTGACCTTTATCCCTGAGTCTCTCTCTAAGTCTTCTCTATCTCATGATCATATAGCCTCTGCAGCCTTCTTATGTCAGTGCTTGTGAGTTAAATCCTTCTCCTTCCCATTTA